TTTTAGTGCCAACCTACAAAAATCATCTCGTATCTCCGTGAGTGGGCACCACAGTAAATCCAGGGCTGACTGACAGCAGGCCCCTCCCTCCACAGAAATAGGCCAGTCTTCCTTCACCATCAGGACCCCCAAACCTGTGCAGGGAATGTCCAAACTCAGGGCTATCACACAGCTCTTGGCCTTGCAGCCCAATCTGTTCCCACTTGCAAATCCAAACACACCCTTTATTCTACGTTTTGAAGCTTTACTTTCATAGTTTCTTTTAATTCACTAGACATTTTTTTGTTGTTGTTTAGAAGAGTGAAAACTACAGAAAGAAAAATTCCCAAGGTGTCATCCACGTTGAGTCCTTCCCGGGCACCTCAGCAGCAAGTTAGCATTCTATGGGTTTTCCTAGCTAGCACTCCACCGCCATGGCCCAAAGCTGAACTAAACAGAAGCTAACGCTAAATGCCTTCAATACTTTTTGAAAAATCCATCAAAGGTTTTGCTGAATGATATTTATAAGGGCCTTACTGTTCTCTTTCACAGACTGAAATGCCCTTCTCCGACACTTGAAAAAAGTTGCTCATGCTTTTCATCTTTCCCTCTCAGAGTGTAAACATTGTTTTGAGTGAAAAGAGCTGAAGGAGTGCTTACTTTCCCTTGAAATTTTATTTTTAAATAAGAGAGGGAGAAAATCCTTTTTCTGACTAATACTAATAATACAGGTCAAAGTGTCAGGCGATATACAATTAAATGGAAAACAAAAAAGGTTCCCCCTCTCTTTCCCACAGTACAATGGCCCTGGAATATAAATTACCGATGAAGATGAAATAATACTTCAAAGACTATAGGGCAGGGCAGCTCGGTGTTTACAAAGTATTTTCTATGGCACGATGAGACATTAAAGATGATGGTAACCCACGGACTTGAGGGTGTTGCTGAATAGACCAAAACTAGCATGAGGTAGGATTTTAGGTCCCCGTAGCCTGTGACCCCGTGATATGCTTTGTTTTACAAGGGCAGCTGCAGTTATCAACAGATGTTTCAGCAATAAATAATTGGTATCATCTCGGAAAAGACCCATCTACCTAGGGAGAGGGCATAATACCAAAACACTGCCCAGCTATTACAGCCACATTAATCTCCCATCTCTTCAGGTTTCTCGGGGAGCCTACTGCAGGTGTTTTTTCTGGGAGAGCGCGGACAAACTCTCTCAAGTCAGCAAGCTTTGTGTGGAGTGTAAAGGAGGTTGGCCCCTGCCATAAATTTCTGTCTGTGGCCACACACCAAAGGAAAAGGGATTGGAGAGTCAGGGAGGAGGGGAGGAGAGCAGTGGGGAGGGAGGAAATGGGAACACAGTGGAGACCAGAAAGCAAAACACAAAACATGTATCATTTTTCTTGGTTAAATTCAGCCCAAGAGAATAACACTATAAATGACTCTTCATTTTACCAACTCATGAACTGTGGAAAACAGTTGTTTGTGACTTGCCTTTTTCTTAAGCATTCTGTGCTCAACTTCAATCTGTTATTTGTGGAATTAAAGACACAGTGTTTATGCTCTGAGTACAATGCTAATTTGAAAAACAGGGGGGAAGCATTTTATGGGAAGGATTCATTTCAAGGTAAAAAAAAAAATCACAGAAAGTTTATATTTATGAATAAACTATAATAAGAGAGAAAACATGAAAAGACAAACTCAGTAATCTTTAACTATTTTTTATGTGAGAATGGAATTTCACAATTAATCAGTTATTAAAATATGACCAGCCAGCTCTGATAAACTCTAATATTGAAATCGACCTGATTGGGATACAGTGAAACAAAAACAAATCATGGAATTTATTCAAACTATTTTTAATAATCTAAGATATTAAAAATAGATTTTAGGAGTACCTGACTCACAGGGTGCTATGGTTCTCCGTATTTACAAAACAGAGTGGTTTAGCAATTGTGCACTTGGGGTCTGGCACAATAGGAGAACATCCTAAAAGTCATTAGGAGGTGTGGTTGCTTAATTTATAGCTTGCTGGGCAAGCTGAAGAAAATGATGCTCAGAGTTCAAAAAGCTGTCAGATTAAATACATTAGAGACTAAAGAAGGCCTAATAGACAGTGCCCCTTAGAGCTGCCACTGAGTGACCTTGTGAGCTGGGCTCAAACTTCTTAAATTCTCTATGCTTCTATTTCTCCAGTGGTGAAATTTGTGTAGTGTAGAGAGGCATAGCGGGAGGTATCATAAGTGGGCTCTTAAAACAGTCTACCAACTATGAGCAGCTTCTCTCCCAACTCACATTAAACTCCCAATGCAGCAGGACTGACGTTTTTAAATGATGTTTAAAAACATCATTTTCAGTTTGTAAGCTAATATCACTACCAGCTTTGAAGGCAGGGCTCAGGGATCTGGTGATTGCAGGATGAAATGAGGGGAGTAAAACCCCAGTTATAGGGATGTACCACATCTCCAGCACTCAGCCTGTGTTCAAAGTCAGAGAAACCTGCTAAGCCCAAAGGTCAAAGCAGGAGTCACTCCCTCTTGCGAGGCCATTTTGCTCTCGCCTTCCTTGGAAGGTTTGTAAAGTTCTTTTATGCCACTAAGCTAATTCCACAAGCGATCTCCAAGCAAGTAAAGTGACCATCAGCTTTTGCAGGAGGGAGTCTAAACAACAGTTCCCAGAATTGATGAAAAAGAGATTTTTTTATTGGGTTGGTCTCCTACAGCCTTCTCACTGGATTCTCCTTACTCCTTACCTTGCCCCTCTCCACTATATCCTCGTTCACACTCTCTGCCTTTCCCCCTTGCTCGCCACTCTACTCTTCCCTGCCAGCAGTGGCTCTCAAACTTTAGCATCAGAATCATCTGGAGGGCTTGTCTAATGCTGATTGCTGGACTCTCACTCCCAGGGTGTTTGATTCAGTAAGGGTTTTTGATTTGAGCCCAAGAATTTGAATTTCTGACCAGTTTTCAGGTGATGCTAATCCATTGTCAGGAGGTCTCACATTCATAGCCACTGCTTTAGAGCTGCACTGTCCAATAAAATGGCAGCCCTGACCACATGTGACTATTTACATAGAAATGAATAAAAAATAGCTAAAATAAAAATTCAGTTCTTTGGTCCCGTTCACCACAAATTTAAGTGCTTGAGAGTCATCAGTGGCTAGTGGCTACCATATTGAACAGCACAGTTGTAGAACATTTCCATCATCAATGCAGAAAGTGTTACTGAACGGCCTACAGCTTACTTCAGATACAATAAGCAAACCTCATGGCTTCTACCTATGGTTTCAAGCTCTTCACTTGGTGCTTCCTGATGGAGAATTGGAGTTGGATGAAGGAGAAGGCTGTAAGTCACAATTTCACCACTTACTGGTCTGTTCCCCTGGGCAAATTAATCTCTCTGCACCTTAATTTCCTTGTTCGTAAAAGAGGGATGATAATGGTAATACAGGAGATCCCCAACTTATAATGGTTCAACTTGTGATTTTGTTACTTTACGATGGTGTGAAAGCAATATACATTTAGTAGAATACAACCATTCTGTTTTTCACTTGCAGCACAGTATTCACTAAATTACACAAAACATTCAATACCTTATTATAAAATAGGCTTTATATTAGACGATTTTTCCCAACTGTGCAGTAATGTAAGTGTTCTGAGCTTGCTTAAGGTAAGCTAAGCTAAGCTATGATGTTTAGTAGGTTAGGCTTAATAAATGCATTTTTAATGTGTAATATGTTTGACTTATTATATTTCCAACTTACGATAGATTTATTGGGGGCAACTCCATCGTAAGTCAAAGAGCATCTGAATCACTCTCAGGCTATCGAGAATTAAATGAGACGATGCATATGCAAACACTTTGTAAACTCTATAATGATAGTTAAGTTATAGTTATTATTTTATTCTACTTTTCCACTAATACTGACCACATTTATTTAAAACCCTTGGCTCACCATTGTGTTCTCCTTAAGTATTGACTTTCCTTTGCTTGCAATTCCCAGTCTTCTTAACCTGTTTTGTTTGTTTTTTCGGAGGATGAGAGATGGGGTTTTACTGTTTCTATTAAGTCTCTAAAGATGCTCTTGTGTGTCTAGTGTGTCTACAAATCAGGGGATCTTTCTTAGATTTTTGCTTGAATGCGCAAAGACAATGTCTATATATTTATTTTGGGATGACTCAAAAATACAATCTTATGTAAACCGATAAAGTAAAAATTTTAGGATATTGTCATGCTTCTAATGCCTGATCTCCAGACAAATATATTTTTTATTTGAGAAAATGTAAACTAGCAAATTTTCTTCCTTGAAAATCATCTGAGAGAATGTGGGTAAAAAGCAATGCTATCAAAGAGGAAAATGGTTCTCCCTGTGTCATCCCCAGAACCACAGCCTGAATACCAAGCTGCAATCTGAGTTCCTGTGCTACTCCTCAGGCTCTCTCCTATCTGACATAGAGGTACCAGTTCAATTAATTTCCAATAAATGAGTTCAAAAATAAGCATGTCAATGACTTTGACTTGATACTTCCTGAACAGCCTTAACCTTGAGGGTATAAGAAAGTCAACGGGACCCTAGGTGGGGCTCAGGGAAGGAAGATGCCAGACTTCAATAGCTTAGACAGCAAGTCACACTGATGAAACAAGGGCGCATTTATTTTCTTAAGCTACCCAACTTTTAGAAAGTAGCATTTCAAAATTAAAATGCTGTGAGGAATGGTGAAATCAAATCTGCTTCTTTGGCCCACCAAGGATATGTAAATATTTCAAGATGACAGGGTTCACGTTAGACCCACTGACTACTCTTCACTTTTACTGGATTTGGCTTTACAACACAAGATCTTATGGGCAAGCAATGCTTTTCAAACAGCTATTTCCCCCACATTAGTCAATCTGGCAGAGCTAACCATAAGGGTAGGGGGCTGTCTTGTGCTTCAAAGAAATTTAATCTATTAGACCACTTAGAGTCTAAATGCCTCACTTGGGGATATCAGAGGAACAGGTGGTGTGGCTCTTCCTACCAGTAACTGCTGCAACCTGGCGCCAATCACATCCTTCAGGTTTGTTTTGTCCTCTGGGCCCACGGCTTGTTTGTACTGCCACTTTTCAGGCACGAAGGGCCACTTCATTTCCTTTGCCTCCTGGATCAGGGTCCTTAACTCGCCGGGGAGTGAAGCTGAAAAGGTCAGAGTTCAGGTAAGGAAATTGCAGTCAAAGAAAAGGCTGTTGAGCTACCGATGTTATGATGAAGCACCTCAGTGGCAAAAAAAAAAAAAAAAAAAAAAAAGAGAGAGAGAAACCTTTTCCCTGCCTCTTGCTGGCTGGTCTAAGCTGTTGGTTCAGACTCAAAGAACAACAGTGGGGAGCTATCTGTCAGGGGTGGCCCTGGCCTACTTTGCCCTACAGGTAAATTGGGGTAGTCAGGCATTAAGAAAGGTTTTTAGCAGGAAGTAAAGCACTTTAGTGACTATCTCTGCATGAAGAGTCAGAGAAAGGAATGAAGGAAATATTATTTTCCCTGTAAAATGAGAAAGGGACTGAAATGGAATGGCATTTTGGGCTTGTGGCAGGTGGGTGATGCAGTGTTAATTTGCACAACCTCTTTTTGCTTCTCTAAGACTTCACTTTCTCATCCCTTCGATATGGATACATTTAAATACAGACAATAACTACGAAAAACACAAATGAGATTTAAAATGGTATAAATTAATTGTGAAATGGCCCTGTTTCACATTAAATATCTTAATGGGCACCAAATCTACTTATAGCGGTCCATAGTCTCTGATACAAACTTCAGAAACCCAAGCAGCTTTGGCAACTGGAAATTTTTCTTAAGTTTGGCACCCGAAACAGACTTGAATTGACTAGAGGTTATTTATAGTCCTGGTTAAGGACTCAGTGAGATTGCTCAAAAGTTTTGCTGTAAAATTTTTTGTGTTCGACTGCACTCCACCTGCTACTGAAGTATGAATGTAATATATGGTACATGCACCGGAAGACCCTTCTAACACTAGAAGAATTCTGAAGTACACATGTGATGCCAGGGTTCTGAAAAAAGGATTATGTATATATGACTTGTATATATGACTGCTATATAAATAAAGGACCTGTATATATGACTGCCAGCTATAAATCTCTAGGTACTTGTCTTGCAAGTCTCTCATGCTCAACATCCAAAACTGAACTCATCACCTTTTTCTAAATCTATTTTCCCTTATAAATCTCTATTTTAATGACTGGTACCACCATTTATTAAGTTCCCAAATCCGAAACCCAGAAGTCGGTCTAGACTTTGTGTTCTCTCTTCTTCCCCAAACCTAATTAGTTGTCAAATGCTGTGGCTCCTAAAATCCATTTCCTCCTCTTCCTTGGCAATAATTCTCGCCTGAATCTTGCTCCATCCAGTTCCTGTTGCACATTGTTGATCCTCATTTTTCTAAAAACAAGATGGACCAGTCCATTGCCCTGAATAAAAATCTTCAGCGGTTTGGCAAATCCTGTTCTGGCTGTTTGGACTGCCTTCCCTCGGTGCCTTGTGACCAAATTCAGGCCCATTGGCTTCAGCACTCAATGCAAACATTGCCACTTCTCCTCAATCCACCATGACCTTACAGTGGAATTGAGTGCCCGCTCTGAGCACTTCCAAACCCAAGGGAGCAGGCCCTTTCCAGCCGTCATCCCACTACTCTGTAACTGCTTCTGTCTCTCACTGGACTGCTATCTCCCTGAAGACAAGCATCATGTCTCATCATTTTTATAAGTCACACCATGATGGGTGAAAGAGCAGTATGATTAAAAGACAAGGTTCATCTTCTAGCTGGCCCTTTGAAAATATTTTTATATTATCTGTAAAAAAAGACATGGTTCATCTAATATCTATGTGAAACATTTTAAATAGAGCAAAAGAGATATGACAGAAAGAACAATAGAAAAAAGAAGAGAGAAAATCTAACTTGGTCTGTGATCCCTTTTTATGAACCATTTAACCACCAACTGGGCACATGTAAGGAAGTTTTCTGGTGGGGAAGGACTGTTTGGCATTGAGGGGATATCACATGGGCCATACCAATGAATGATTCACACTGATTACCAAGGATGGCTTACAGGAATCACACTGAAATTATCAGCCCTTATCTCCATTGAGCAGTGCAGGACTACTGAGCATCTACTGTGTGATGCTCCCCCTTGAAAGCAGACCTACAGGATTAGGGACTTATGTGGCCACATTCTGACCCTCTTACAGCCACTGACATAATTTCAACTTCTGAAACTGTTTTCCATATAGTTGTAGAGAACATTTATTCAGGAGCATTTCTAAACAGTCACAGACAGGAGGACCCCTTAGTCCTGTTTACTTAGGACCGTCCTGTGTGGTCCTAGGGTCCTTATTAACAGTGCTCCTTTTCACTCTCAGAAGTGTCCCAGTTTAGCTAATAAATTATTTAAATTATTTGAACACTGAGTCAATACGAGCAGTCATATGACAACGGAATGTGATTTCTGGGTTCATAGAATTTTATCATACTTTGGACTGAATAGTGTTAATATTTTCAAATTTCTTCATGGTAATGGAAAAGTCTGTTCTTTACAACGAACTCATTTTTGCCTCCTCCACATCACCCTTTCCCCACACCTCACGTCAGAATGTCCTGTGGGGCACCCTGAGATAAAATATGCCTCTAAATTATGTTTTTAAAATGTATCTCTGGATTTCAGTTCCTTCTGCATCTCTGGGGAAGTTGCTGGGGTAGTCACCCACGCTGACAAGGACGATTTCTGAGGGAAAATGATGGGGTCGAGAGGAGGAGGGAGAAGAAGAAAAACCTAGTGTTTGTGTTGCAGGGTCTGCTGGCTCGCCCCGCTGTCATAAGTGACCCTGTACTAATGCCTTTCTCTGGGAGCACATGCGGTGACGACATCGGTGGCGGGTATGACCCGCCTGCTCGAGCCGCTCCGCAGCCACCTGCCGAGGGAAGGGATCCGGTGCAGACTGCACTCCATCCGCACGGTGGGCTCGGGTGGGACGCGCAGCGCCGCCCTTGGGCTGGGCTGATGCTACAGCTGCCAGTGGCTCCGCTTAGGAGGCGTCCTTCCCGGTCGGTTTATTGGATTCAACCAGCGCGAGGCAGTCAGCCCCAGACCCAGCAGTGGCTTCCTCTGCCTCTGTGATCACTTACTTCCCCAAGCAGCTTACCTGAAGGGCCATGTCTAATTTAGTGATTTTACAGCCGTGATTTGCCTTATCTGGAACTAAACTGATTACTTCTCCTATTCTGTGGCACTCGGGAAGAAAAAGAAAAGAAAATGCTACTCAATTGGGAGCTCAGAGTCTTCACCAGAGAGAACACAAAGCTTAAACGAATTTGCGCGGAGGAGACAAAGGATGTGGTGTAGTAAAAGGGAGAGAAAAACTAGTGGAAACAACAGCACACAACACACCGCCCCTGGGGAGAACTAGGGCCAGCCATAGAGCATATTATATAGGTGCCAAGTACCTGCCATTCCCTGACAAAGGCTGACATCTGTGAGAGTGATCTCAGGCTGACAGGCACAAGAAGCTAGGAAGCAAAGTCACACATTGGTGTATCATAGAAACTGAGGCTGTGAAACGACTGGGTGTAGGGGATTTTTATCTTGAAAGGAGGACAAATGACAGGTTACAAATAATTAAGACTTCCATAGTCCCCTCGTAAAAATGTATGTGCCTAGGTACAAGAACTCAGGAGAAAAGACTCTCCCAGGACCTTTTCCCATTACGTAATGAGCAACAGCAAAAAACGAGGAGTGTGCGTTTTATTTAGGAATCTTGTTTCTGTGAGGAATAGCAAAGTGCTAAAAATACTGAGAAAAATATTAACAGCATGTAAAAAGGACAGTACTTATGGAAGTGGAGGGAAATTTATTCAAATGCTAAACAGAAATCTAAAAAAAAAAAAAAGAAGAAGAAGGTTGCCCCTCAAAAATTGGTTAAAGAAGAAATAAGAATTGCTTTAACTTTCTAGACTTTGTGATGGAAACTTCCCAAACAATGACTTATCTAACACTCTGAATGGCACAAACACTAAAATGAGCAAAAAGCCAAATTCTTAAACCCTGATAATGATGCAATCAGTTTTATCGAGATGAGAGAATTTATTTTACAAATGGCATGGGAATATATCATGAGGGATGTATTGGTGATCAAAAAAGTGAGGTTGGACTGGTGAGATGACATATTTATGGAAACCCTAGAAGTCTATGGAAACTGATGAGGCAAAAAATCCTAGTTTGAAAAAAAGTATGTGCCACCATTCAGAAATTGCTTCAATTTTTTAATAATTGAAATTTACGTGCACCAGCCAACTTGGATCCTTTGTTCTTCTTGAACTAAACTGTTTCTTGTAGCCTCATGTTTACTGAAGCCTAAAATTAGAACTGACAGCAATTCACTGCAACAAAGTGGGCTTCCTCCCCTGCCCGTCCGCCCGCAGCCCATGTCCCATTCATGCCCTAGAAATCCACTCATCTCTCAGTGGTCATCTGCCAAGAGAAGAAAAATAGGGCAGAGATGAGAATGTGTCGTTCAGGCAGGGGAGAGGAGAGTGAACCTGCTGGCTCACCCCTGGTGCCTCCCATCAGAACCTCACCTCTGCAGCGCTGGTCCTCGCTCTTGTCCTCTTCCGACACATCTGGCGCTTCCAACAAGAGCTGGTCCAGCACTTGCTTGCACTCTTGCAGTAGCGCGGCTACCGCTTTTTGATTATTCATGATGATTACGATGAATTGGGTGTCCCTGGGTCTAGGGTGATCAATTACCTAGGAGAAGACATTGATTCTCAATAAAGGAGCCCCTTGAAGGCCGAAGTACCTGGTGAACAAAAGAGAGGGAAAGATGATTAACTGAAGTATCATCAATTATCTGTAAGACTCAAGCAGGGAGGGATAATAGGGCAAATGCAGGAAAATACATGACAGCCCCCAAGGACTTCATTAGAGGAGTGTGTGAAATTACTTCAGGGCCTGGCTAGATGGGCAGCACCTCGAAGGCCTCAGAGTGCAGAAGCGAGAGGGGCCTGGTACAGACCCCGGTTATCTATCCACAGTGATGTCAGTGGAATCACATGGGCCAAATGAAATGAATATACTGCATGATTTATTTATCTTCTGCATACTTCACATCAGTGCCTCTGGAGCTCAGTGGCACCACACTCTCTGCTCTCTAAAAGTCCACAGGAAGCATCTGGCTAACAGTTTTAATATCAGGCACTAGTATACAGTAATAACCCACTGCTGATTTCCCCTGTGCAGTATTCTTCATAATATTTAGCATGATATAATTTGGACCAAGATAGGCAATGACAAATGCCAAATTTAAAGCTCTTCACTGCCAAGAACATTACCAAGTAAAATAGAGGACTGATATCCCAGAAAACCCAATTTCCTAAATCTATCAAATGGATGGATCTGTCATATGGATCTACTTATATTGTCATTTAACCTATATACAGCTGAGAGATTTCTTATGTAAATATTAGTGTGATTAATGAGCTACTGCTGTCAAGGTAATTTCAAGAATGAAGTAACTTACTAACAGACAAAAACAATGCCTGAAAAATACATGGAAACACATTATGCAATTAACAAATCTTTTTGTCTATCTTTCTTTTGTTAAAGTATTATATTGTAAACAAAAGACAGGAAGTTATTCTCTCTTAGACATTGCCAGAATAGATATTGGAGCTGCTGTCAGGTTTAGACACTTCTGGAGGGCGTGTAGAATTTTATTACCAAAAGTAAGAGAGTCTGAAAGGAAAGAAAGTAACAGACATACGGATGGCTCTAGTTATTCTGTCTCTGAGCTTATGCATGTGATGAAGTAATCACTGAAAATATTAAAGCAGTGAATTATTGTGTTGGTGTTGGGATTAAATGTGCTCTACTAGCCAATGGTTTCTTAACTAACTTTCAGAAGTTGGCTTTGAATTTGAAATCTCAAGAAAGCCTTTTTCTCTCTCTGATTTTCTATTCTATGACTTAACAGGAGCAGAAAATGAAAGCTGAGCTAACTGTGTAATCTAAATTTTGTGTTTTTCATACTGACTTGGCAGGTATACTTCGTTGTCTTGATATACTTTGTGTTTAAACACACACACACACACACACTACACACATACGTTACAGAGCTAGAACTGCAGAAACAAAACTTGAGGTTATTACAGCCTTGTTTCTTTTAAAATCCTAATGTATTTGTCGATGAAGAACACAAGCAGAGTGCTCAAATACAAAATTTGTGTTACTTGAAAGGGCATTCACTTCAAGTGAGATACTGAAGAATTAGTCACTAAGAGCAAGTCTAACCATTGGTGTCTCTGTGTCACTTTTTGGTAATTCTTGGAATGTTTCAAACTTTTTCATTATTATTATATCTGTTATGGTGATCTGTGATCAATGATCTTTGATGTTACTATTGTAATTATTTTGGGTCACTACAAACTGTCTGGGAGCCAGCAAAGTTAATCCGTGAATGTTGTATGTCTTCTGACTGCTCCACTGACCACTCATTGCTCCATCTCTTTCCCTCTCCTCAGGCCTCCCTATTCCCTGAGACACAGAAATATTTAAATTACATCACTTAATAACCCTACAGCAGCCTCTATGTGTTCAAGTGAAAGGAAGAGTCACACATCTCACACTTAAAATCAAAAGCTAGTAATGTTAAACTGAGAGAGAAAGGTGCATTGAAAGTCAAGATAGGCCAAAAGATAGGCCTCTTGTGACAAATAGCCAAGTTGTGAATGCAAAAAAAAAAAATTTCATGAAGAAAAGGAAAAGTGCTGCTCCAGAGAACACATTAACAGGAATTCAGGAGAAACTGAGTCTAACCCTCATAGATAACTTTGGGGTGTTCAAGACTTCAGTGATGGAAGTAGCTGCAGATGTGGTGGAAATAGCAAGAGAACTAGAATTAGCAAAGCCTAAGATATGACTAAATTGCTGCAATCTCATGATAAAACTTGAATCAATGGGACGTTGCTTCTTATATATGGGTAAAGAAGGTGGTTTCTTAAGATGAAATCTACTCCTGGCAAAGATGCTGTGAACATTGTTGAAATGGCAACAAGGCATGTAGAATATTACATAAACTTAGTTGGTAAAGCAGAAGCAGGATTTGAGAGGATCGACGCAATTTTGAAAGGTGTTCTACCATGGTTGAATGCTATCAGACAGCATCACATGCTACAGAAAAATCTTTAGGAAAAGGATGACTCAATCCATGTAGCAAACTTCATTGTTGTCTTAATTTAAGAAATGGCCACAGTCACTCTAGCCTTCAGCAACCGTCACACTGATCAGTCAGCAGCCATCAGCATCGAGGCAAAACCCTCTACCAGCAGAATGATTAGGACTTGCTGAAGACTCAGATAATCATTAGCATTTTTTAGCAATAAAGTATTTCTTAATTAAGTTGGGTACTTTTTTAGACATAATTTGATTGTACACTTACTAGACTATAGTACAGTATAAATATAACTTTCATTAATATTATGCACTGAGAAACAAAAACATTCATGTAACTCATTTTTTTTTAAATTTAAAGATTTTTTTTTAGAAATGGGTCTCACTATGTTGTCCAAGTCAGACTCAAACTCCTAGGCTCAAGTGATACTCCCGCCTCAGCCTCCCAAGTAGGATTACAGGTACGCACCACTGCACCTGGCTTTGTGTGACTCACTTTATTGTGGTACTTGCTTCTGTGTAGAGGGTTGGAACTAAATCCACAATATCTTCGAGGTATACTTGTACAAATTTAATCTCTTTTCTGTTTAGGATACTTCAAAAAAGTATTTCTGCATGGATTGGTTGCTGAACTGAAAGGTTTCCAATGTCTCTTTTAACTCAAATGTCTATAAGTCACAATGTTTTATGCCACAAGCTGGCGATTGGCCTGCCTACTTAGGAAAAGAACTAAGCAGGAAAGGCTGCTCAGAATTTTATCCTCATACTGCTATTGCAAAGAGTACATGAGCATATGTTCATTCCTTCTGAGTACTGCAGTGAGCTAATAAAAGAGCTAATTAGTGGACTACAGTGAACAAGAGGCCCTGAAGCAATGATATCCCATTCCCATCATTCCTTGAGAGAGGGAGATATTGGCTAAAATGGGAGGTTAGCACTGAGATTAAAATATACATTTGGTGGTTTAGAAGGCTAAGAACAAATTTTGCTTGGAGTGAGCAGCAGGTAAGTCAGAGACTCATTTTTCTTCAAGTCCAAAATTAAAGCAAGAAGGGCGTTCTCTTTCCCAGCATTCTTTTGTAGAACTTCATCTAGAAAGAGAGGTGTAACAAAGAAATAGGAAGAGCTCATACACAAAGAAATAAAACTGTATTATAACATAATTTTAGTAGCACATCATGCTTTTGTCTAAAGGCTTATGTTTTCTTAGTGCTGTATCATTCTCTTAAGGTAGAAAGTAGTCTTTTGTTGAACTCATAGAAGCAGAGAGTAGGGTGGTGGTTACCAGAGACTGTGGGATGGGGAAATTAGGGAGATGTTGGTCAAAGGATACAAAATTTCAGTTAGACAGGAGGAAAAAGTTCAAGAGATCTATGGGATGTCATGGTGATGATAGTTAAAAACAATATATTATATAAGAGAGTAGATTTTAAGTGTTCTCACCACAAATAATGGTATATGAGATAATGTTAATTAGTTTGATTTAACCATTCTACAACGTATGACCATAAATGTATATAAGTTAATCTGTCAATTAAAATAAAATTAAAAAAGAAAGTAGGCCAGGCGCAGTGGCTCATGCCTGTAATGACAGCACTTTGGGAGGCCAGGGCGGGCAGATCACGAGGTCAGGAGCTAGATACCATCCTGGCTACAGTGAAACCCAGTCTCTACTAAAAATACAAAAAATTAGCCAGCTGTGGTGGCTTGCACCTGTAGTCCCAGCTACTTGGGAGGCTGAGGCAGGAGAATGACGTGAACCTGGGAGATGCAGCTTGCAGTGAGCCAAGATCGTGCCACTGCACTCCAGCCTGGGCGACAGAGCAAGACTCTGTCTCAAAAAAAAAAAAAAAAAAAACAAAAAAAAACAGAAAGTAGTCTTCTTTACACTGACAAATTAAAGTAAATTTTAATTCCTCTGTTTCTGTAAATGACTTAAGTGAAAACAGCATATAGTAATGAAAAGAGGACCTAGAAATAGGAAACTAATGCTTACAAGAGTGTTCAACAGATATTTGTTGATTAATTCCACTTTATACTCTGTCATTAACTATTTGTAAGACTTCTGGATCCACTTTTGAGATTGACTTTTCTCATCTGTATTTTTGAGGGAGTTGGTTGGAACAATTGCTAAGCTGCTTCTAGCTCATAAATTACATACTCAGCAGCAGTCTAAATAGACTATGTTGTTTATTGCCAAAGAATATTTGATATTTGTTTATTAAGAAATTCGCTAGCTCTTTTGAGAACCCTTACATATCGTTTTTATGTATGTATATTTTTGTGTGGTTAGAAATATTGGCTTGAATTTTAGAAGTTGATTACTAAATTACTTATTTGATTTGGTTTCTTCACTTGCAACACCAATTCCTGATGTACAAGATCATAAATCTCTTCCTTTTGTCTAAGTGATGTGAAAGAGAGATAGGGCATGCAGTTATATGAAGGCAAACAACAGGACTTGACCTAGTCACTTGAGTAAAGCTAGGGCAGATCAAGGGAGGCTTCTTTGAGAATGTGATGCCTGAATTAAGCTTTGAAAGAGTGATAGGGCTTAATGAAGTTAAAATGATGGGGAA